ATCATCTCTTTCTAGAATATCCTTCAGAACACTTTGGAGTGCTGCTTTGGAGGTTATGAATTTCTTTCTTTATGAATGCTCTTTGTCATGGAGGTATCTTACTTCTCCATCAATTTTGAAGGACAGTTTTGCAGGTTACATCAATCTGAGTTGGAGGTTGTTTTCCTTTAGGGCTTGAAATACTTCACTCCTTGACTTGAGAGTTTGTGTTGAGAAGTCTGCTGTGATTCTGCTGGGCTTTCCTTTATAGATGATTTGTTTCTTTTCTCCAACAGCTTTTAATATTCTGTCCTTGTGTTGAATATCTGGAATCTTGACTATTATATGCCTTGGGGAAGATTTTTTTTATCGTGTCTAATTGGAGTCCTATATGCCTCATTTAACTGTATGTCACATTCTTTTTCCCTTTTTGGGAAGTTTTCTGCCATTACTTCTGAGAACTGATTTTTTATGTCATTTGCACTATCTCCTGCTTTTTCATTGACCCCAATCCAATCTTATGTTATTCTTCTTTGCATCATCTTGCAGCTGTTGGATTTATTTCTCATGGTCCCTTACTATTTTTAAGAAATCTCTCTTTTCATGTTCACTAACCACAGTCCTGTCTTCTATATCTGATGTTCTGTCCACACATTGGCTCATTCTATTGTGTATACTTTCAGTGGAGTTTTTAATCTCCTGGATATCTGTTTGAATCTGTTTCATGGATTCTGTTTCTTTCCTGTGTTGGGCATTCATGGTTTCCATCATGTTCCTTGAGCTCCTCTATTTTTTTTTAATGTGTATCTGCTCTAGAGTCACTAAGCATATCTTTCATTCTGGTCACCATCTCTGTAGTTATCTGGGAAATTATTTCTGCTTTGATTTTTTTCTAGAGCCTCATTCATCTGCTTTATTACTTCTGCTGTTACCACTTCAGAGAGACAAGGTGGGTGGCCTTTGGATTGTTCCATCTCATTGCCCTGGGGGTTTGCCTTTGGTGAGCTGAAAGTCTGGCAGGGGTGGGGTGGGGGGTGGGGGTTGCATCTTGTTTAAGTGTCTTCTCATTTTTTATTTGTTTTTTTAAGTTTGATTCCTGAGTTGATGCTTATAAATTGCTTATGGCAAGTAGCTTTATTGCTAGTATTAAGAACTCTTAGGAAATGACTACTTCTCAGTGTCTTCCAGGCATAGCTGGCTTTTGGGTTTTGAGTCTGCAGCAAAATCCTACCTCTTCAATTTTTGGGGATGAGAAGTTCCTAGCTCAACTGCGAGGTCTTTGGCACTGGCCTATATGCCTTTTTTTTTTTAAAGACCCTTAGGCAGTCTCAGTCTTGTTATACCAGGAGGAACAACTGATTAGCACAATTATGTCACCTTGGCTAAAGTAGTACAATCAGCAATAACAATAGCATCAAATACAGCGTAGATAATGACAAACAGTGGTAACTATTAACTTGCTACCTTTAACCATATGAACTAGATTTGTGGTTAAATAATGAAATCTAGAATGAATCTGGAAATTGTATGCAATAAATAAGCCTTTATATGGCAATTTTACTCTTATGGAAGAATATTTAAAATGTGTTGGGAGTAAAAAACAGAAATAGAAGAAGAGAGAGAGATCAGAACCAAGGCTGGAGGACAAACCTTAGGAAACTGGTGAAAAAGACAGGTGATAAAGAGAAAAGGAAAAAATAAAAACAAGAACAGAACAGAACAACAACAAAACTAGAAATCAAGAAAAAACAAAATAAAACAAGAACCAGAAAGGAGGAAAAAAAAGAAGAAAAACAAAACAAAACAAACCCCCCAAAATATCCAATTCAAGATGTGTCTCTGCTGTTACTGGTAGTCAGCATGGGCAAACAAGAGACCAGACCTGAACTGATTAATCCCAGGAAACCAGCTACAGCTTCATGGTGGGGCAGTGGATAATCCAGCCAGCCTGCCTGTCCAGTTCCTCTAAAGTTCAGGCCAGTTTCTGGTTATGAGGCTGGAACTGGATTCCTTGAGTCTACAACAGTCTATGTGTCTCCTGCCGGCTTGAACTCCGCTCCCTGGCCTCGTGCTGACTTGAACCCAACACTCACACTGAGGCACCAGGAGCCACTAGATTGAGTCATGGATGTTCTGAGTTCTGAGCTCAGTTGGGCCCTCTTCAAGATGGCTACCAGCCAATCACCCTCTCCTGGGTGACGTCTAAACCCAGATAATTCACCAGCTGCTGCAGTCCAATTTGTTCACTGCTCTGTTTCACTGGTGCATCTCTCCATGGAGGCCTCTGGGTCGCCTGTAGTCACCATGTATCTGCAGGTTCAGCCCACTGTTCCCTCACTGAGTGTCAAGGCTCTGGGAAAGAGCGCTGCTTGCTACCTCCCTCCTCTTGGTTAAAGTCTCTCTTCGCTTTCCCTGTGGACTTTAATTCTTGCCTCAGATCCTTCTTGGGTCCCAGGGACCCACCTCCCTCTTTCATTTCCTCCTCATGCCACTATACTCCAGTGTCAGGACACCAAATCTCAGAGAGGCTCTTTCTCTGCTGCTCACCACTCCGCCATCTTATCCTCAACACATTTTCTAAACTCTCTAATCCTTTTTTATTCTTTACAGTTCTATATATCTTTTATGATTCTTTATTCAACAAGTATTTATTGTGCATCTGCTGTATGCAGGCAGTATGTTTATTAGTTGCTGCATATACAAGTGACTAAAAGGACTCCCTGACCACAAGCAGCTCATAGAGACAGATCTATGCAGTAGGAGGAGAAAAAAGTACAGCTCATTATGGGAGCAAGAAGAAGGGCCACCAACAGGGCCTTCACCTCATGAGCTTTTGCATTTCTTGGTATTTTCAGTAGCATGCAGTGCTCAGTAGATGCTGAGGAAAAGTGTTAATAGGGTGGAGTGGTAATCCAAGCTAGAAAGCTTTGTTAAATCCAGCTCTGAAATTTAGGCAAAAACTCCAAAAGAGCCCATCAAAAGCTTGGCTGGTCTGTATTAGAAATGATTGTTAGTAGGCTGTGGTTCTACTATTAAAAAAGATGTACCACAAATGTCTTCAAGTAAATGAATGTATATCCCACACCTGGAACTGGAGTCTATTGTACCAGACTGGACTATTGTATCAGAGGCTAGAAAGATGTGCAAGACATCTTCTCTATCATGACACTCATAGTCAAGTGAGGCAGATGACCTGAAACAGACTCTCCAAAGAGGAAGGATGGCAGAAGCACTGAGTAGGAATGGGGAGGACAGGGAATGGGCCTCGGGAGTTCACTCCACTGGGACCGAGGGAGTTTCCTGAGTGGGAATGGCGTTTGAGCTGGTATTCAAAGGGTGAGGCAGAAAACAGAGGGTAAACAACCCAGGAAAAAAACTTGAGCAAATGCATATTCTTTAAAAGTAAAAAGTCAAATTGATTTATTTTTAATCCAGGAGAGTTCAGGGAATGGTTCATACAACAGCAACTGGAAGGTAGGGCACACATAGCACTATTGAGAGAGTGGAAGGTCAGAGAGGAAGTTTTGTTCAGTGCCATCCATAAATATTAAGCAACTGCTGGGGCAGATATAGTACACTTGAAAAGAAAAACCATGGTCTTTGCTCATACTTTTGTGTTCTGATGCACACACACACATATATGTGTCCTTGGTTGCAGTGTCAAATTCATGTCTTAACCTAAGGTGCAATTTCGAAAGCCATTGATCTAAAATGAGTTCAGCAAGTCACCTCTAGTCTAAACTGCTCACCCTCCAGTTTACACCATTACAGTACTGAAGAGAGCAGAAGGGAGGCAGTGGCTTGAGGTATCTTTCATGATAATAATGAAAATTCAGTTATGTAAAACAATGGGTGCTAATGTATTGCTTCAGAGTCGATGGCTTTGGTGGTTTTTGTAAAAGCCAGAAGCATACTTTACATTTTTTCTGTATGTAATCCTTTTAGCAACATGAATGCTTAGGATTACCCACATCTGGTCTATGAGCAGAACAGATGAGAATTGAGAAAAGAAATTATTATTTTGTTTTCTTGAGGTTTCAAGTAACCCTTTGCTAAATATTTTAAGAGACAATAGAATTTGAAAATGTAAATTATAAATCCTCATAGATTTCATTTTTCCACTAGATGGCAGAAAAAGCACTTGTAATGGAAATTACATTGTCATCTAATCAGTTCTGCAGACTTTTTAATAAAAGAAGGTATACTTCATTTCAGTTTGAACAGTAGAATATGATTATAAGACAACTGATTATTCTATAATCAATTTAATCATATTAAGCTTAAAATTAAAGAGAAAAACTTTAATTTGTTTTTATATAAGTAGTTTGTTTTTATCTAAGTATATAAGAAAAATTTTAGTTTGTTTTAGATAAGTTTCAATTAAAATATTGATGGAATTTCATTGGCTTTAGAATATTGACATGTTGTTCATTGATGTATGTCTTCAAATAAAAGGCAATACTTAAATATGATTTTAAATTAATACAGCCACATTTTTATGTTTCACATGGACATAATTAGATGTACAATTGAGATAATCTTATGACATACTGAAGATGATGATATACATAAGTAAAAAGAGTGCTGATACAATCATGGTTATAAACTCAAAATGAACTTTTTTAAAAGAAAGAAAATAAAAACCATGTGTACTAAACACAACACAAAAGTTAAACGTAGAGTCTATTTTTTCCTAAACATTGCTAATAATTCTAATTTTTAACCTTGCATTTATGTTATGCTGTAATTTATCAATAATTCTTTGGGGATATTTGTAGATAGAACACTTGACTAGGCACTTGAGTTGCATAGACTGTCTTACTCTTGCTCTGGTTTATTTACAACTGAAGAGAAAATTATTTCACAGACACTCATTGAGCAATGTAGTTAGTAAGTGAGTTATACAAAAAAATAATGTGTTAGGAAACTATATAATTTGATAATATAATATCAAATTGCAAAATAAAAACCAGTTCAAATGTTCCTGTGTCAACCATTGTTTTTGCTTCTTTTTGTCTTAGATAGAGCTGACTCTTAAAAAGTTGAAGAGCGACTCATTAACATAAAATGAAGAAAAAGGATGGAAAATGAGAGATGATGCGATGGAGTACAACCTAATCATTCATGTAGTTCACAAACTCTTGTTGAATGTTTGTTACAGGTCAAGGAATGGCAGTGGAAATGGAAACATTCTCTCCAAATGAAAGCATAATAGAGTAGGGGAGACTTAGGTGAACAAATGTGAAGAATTGAAAGAATGCATGAAAAATGACATGTTGGTTGCCATGGTGATGCTGTTACCTGGGTTCTTTCCCCTCCCAGCCTTGGCTGATTGCCTCCCTCCCATCAAAACCAAAACAACAGTGAAACTTGGGAGCAGGCCCGTAGTACCCACCGCCCTCTGGAACAAAGGAGAGCTCTTCTGGTGATGGGATGAAGGTAGAAATGGCATCTGCGAGCCCTCCGGCCGGCCTATCTGCCAGCAGCAAGTTATACCCAGTTGCCAGGTCTCTAGCTTAGTACTCTGCTGTGTACAGCAAAGAAGTCTGATCTTGTTTGGAATCAAGGCGAGTCAAGGGCTTTGGGAGGATAATCCATTCACATGATGCAGTAAATTAGTTTCAAGGATGATGTAATTTCTGAGTAACTTCTCTTCCCTGGTGTGTCGACAGAAGACTTTTTTAGGTCTGCTTCTTTGTCAAGGCAACTGTAGATTAAAAACAAACATTTTCAAATAAACAGGGATCTGATCTGGAGTAATTTTTTTTAAGTCAAGAAACATGATGTTAGATTTGCAGGAGCATTCCTTCAGAAAGCCCCAGTGGCCCTACTTTAGGTACCTCAAGCCCTACTGCCTGTGAAATGTGGGGCCCTGGTTGCTCACTTCACATTTCTGTGACCCAGTTTCTGAAATTATGTATCCTCAAGGAGTTAGAGTCCCAGCTCTAACATTTTTTGCATGAGAAACAGAGAGGTTAGAGCAGCTCACTGTCCAGTAGAAACAAACAGAACAGAACTCTGGGCCAAGGGCTCAATGCCATTGCCCTCACCTAGCTCTTCAGATCTTCAGCTCTCCCTTCACTCTTCCGAGAAAGGGAAATCCACAAATAAGCTCTTTCTTACTGATGCTCATCCCATTGCTATCACTGCAAGTGTCCTTCTAAGTCTACAACCTGAGTCTCTTCTTCAGGGCTCTGCAAGTGGCTCTCTTGTGCCCATCCAGCTCTGAGCAGATTCTGCCCCCGAATGTAGAGTGGTTTTCACCTTCCTGCTGAAGCCCAGGAAGAATGTGCGGCAGGCTCCTGAACCCTGTGGATCTCCACTCAGCACACTTCTATTGGGCTCAGCGCAGTGACAGCTGTGACAAATACCATGGCAATTTCCCAGATAAGATTGTATCTGAGTAGGGGCTACATTTCCTCCAAAGTTGCAGGGGCCATTATTATTCTTTGGAGAGGAATTCTGAGGAGGAAATAGCTGATTTAAATGCCTGCTGTCAGTTGCCAAAGAAATTGTTACAAAATACTACCAAAACGATGTGGAAAACTGCCCATTGCTTTGGATACCATTATTTTTCTTGTGCTCGCTCCCATTCATCATCTGAGATTTTCCTCTTTGTCAACCAGGTGCATGAGGACGCCAGGGGCTCCTAACTCAGAGCTTAGTTTGTGTTCCTTTCTATTCTGCATTATGGTTATCCAGTCATTCCTTGTGTCCTCTTTTTTTTCCTTTCTGGTATTGGGGATCAAACTTAGAACGTTGCACTTGCCAGGTAGGCTCGGTGGCACTGAGCTACATATCTGGCCCTTCTTGTGGTCTCTTTGGTTTGGTTTGTTTTTGAGACAGGGTCTTGTTAGGTAGCTCAAGGTAGCCTTGAACTTTCCGTGTAGCACAGGCTGACCTTGAACTTGCCTCACCTTAATCTTCCTGACTCAGCCTCCTGTGTGCTGAGATTACAAGCATGCACCACTATATCTGGCCGCTTGTGACCTCTTAAACTCTTGTGTGGTCTTCTAAGAAAGTACATATAAGACGGGATGAAGCTAGGTGTTAGAGTGCTTGTCTACCATCTTCAGAGTCCTAGGTTCAATCCCCAGCAGTATAAAAAAGACAAAAAATGTATATAGCTCAGACATAGCAACCCAGTTTGTCTATATAATTAAATTTTACTTATTCAATAAGTACTTGTTGCATGCCCATTATTTTTCCACACATGAGAGCAGTATGTAGTAATAGGTTAGAGCCAGCTTTCTGGAGTCAAACCGTGTAGATTTTAACCCTGACTCCACAAAGATTCCCAGTGGTGTGACCTTGTTATGTGATCGGTTGTGTATCTACAGACAAGTCACTTTATTTTTACATCTGTATAAGGTATCTAATAGTAGTATCTACCTCATAGGGATGAAACAAAGATAAACTGAGTTAAATTTAATCTGTAAGGTGCTACAAATGATAGGTCACAGTAGGTTTTCATTAATATGTTCATTACATGTGTGAAGAAGATAACTATTATTATTAAAGAACTCACAGTCTAAGAAAAGACATATACAGGAATAATATAAAACAATATTTACCTCAAGGTGACCCGCAAAAACCTTAAGCAAACAAACAAAATCTTAGAGCAAAATACAAAAATCAAAGTTTGTCAAATTTGGGAATATAAAATTTCAAACTTTTGGGCACACACAAAAGTCACTTAAAAATTCATAGGCAGCAAAACAGAGGAAAACATAGTTGTCACACTTACAGTTTGTGTCTTGCCTCTGGGACATTTGGGAAAGGCGAATCTGCCTGTGAAAAATAGAAGAGAATCTTTAGACTAGAGAGGACACTGATTACAAATGAAGGTATTTGAATTAAATTTGATGGAAAGAGTCATAGAAGTTTTCTAGCATCCAAATCTTTCCTAGGGAAGATGAATCTGGCACAGAATGTGGGGTTGGCCGGAGAGTAAAGGCCAGTAAAGTTAGCACTGGTTAGCACTAGTTAGCACGCAGGCAAGAGCAGGCAAAAGGCTAGTTTCAGCAGACCAATGATTGAGGTTTTCTAAAGTTTCTGAGTGTACCTAATTAGAAACATGATGATTAGCAAAGTTAAGGCATACAGAAGTAGATAAAAGTTTGGCAGGAAAGCCAATGGGTTTGTTTCAGAAATTACACAAAAATAACATGTTAGCTTTAAAAACTGGGGCAATGGGCATCTGAAATGAAAAGACATTTCTCAGATGGAGAAGTAGAAGCAGCAAATATACATATGAAAAAATGTTCAACATCACTGGTCATT